ATATGCGTAAATGCATTTTTGTGCGATTCTTTTATATTTGAATTTTAATGCGAAAATGGGACAAGTCACGTGATTTCCGCCTTTAGGTGTCCAGATCTATATAACAAAAACAAATTAATTCCGGTCATAGAAACATATCACGGAATTTAACAGAATTTTAGATTTTTGGAAGTTTCTCAGATCAAAGTTACATAAATTATATCTACGTATGATGACGTGATATTACATGCGTTGACAAATCATATCATGATATTTTATATTTTACGTGCACAGAATTAAAACTAAATTACAAAATTATATTATTACATATTATTACAGAATTTTGTATCACAACACAGAATTTGTCTCAAACCATACGCAAAATTTGATCTTAGCAATAGAAAATCATCGGAAAATTTTTCGGATCAATTACGTAATTGGTTAAATCATCCGTGTTTTCAAGATATCGAATCGTTTTAGTATACCTATTCGCCTCGATATCTAACATTTAGATGCCGTATTTGCGCGTAATAACGCGCAGATGCGCGTTATCTTGAAACCCTGCGCGTTATTTCGGGACGCACATGCGTGGTAATTCGAATCATTGACAAATTCAGGTAACCCTGCTTATTAATGAATATGTATACTTAAGAAGGGCGTTATTTTGGGACGCATATGGGCGTTATTTTGAGTCAAAAAAAATAACAAAAAAATGGTGATTTCGAAATAACGCATATGTGCGTAAATACGGTATCACGAATTTTTGTTATCGTTATATCGAGGTTATAATACTGCTGTATTGCTGTATCTAGAATGTTTTATGACTTAACGTTAAAAAAATTATTCAATATATTTAAAGTATTTTGTGATTTTTTTTTTTTTTTATGATTTACTGTTTAATAAAAATGATTATATTACACTTAATACTGCTAAAGTACATTCTACAAGTTTTAAATAACAGTTAAGAAAGTTAATGAGAACAATCATTATAAACTATTAAACTTTCTAATGATCAATATACAACTAAAAATTCTAATAAAATTCTTAAAGTAATCATGCATTCATTAGAATCCAAGTTTCTTTCTGTTTGCATAAAGTTTCTTAATGAAAGTAAGGTGCATCTTAAAAAACTAAACCAATAAAGTTTAGTTTTTGTTTAAAGAAAAGCAAACGATTTATTAACAATTTGTTTTATTGTTCGTTAATAAGTTTATCTAAAACGTATTTTTAGAGCAATAAACAAATTCTAAAAAGCAATCGTTTTCATGATTCACCATGACTAAATATAAATCCGGAGATCTTCAGAAGAAAGGTGCTCCGATGTTTTGGTTTTGGCTTTGGTTTTTTCGATTCCTTTTTTAAAAGACATAAGGTAAAGTTAATGAATTGTAAGGTTATAATAAGGTATGTAATTATTTATCAAGTGTAAAAAAAAATTTATAAAGATTTAAAAAAAAGAAACAATTTATTTTAAAAATCTATAATATATTTCCCAATTTCACAATAACACTAATTCTAATATCCCAGCCTTATATATAACCAGCATCTTGCGTATTGCAAATGACAAATCCCAAATATATAAAAACAATATTGACTAATACTGTATAACTATATTCTATGATTTACAGGTTAAAAAGAAAAAAAAAACATGTTTTATCAAACACCCGTCACTAATGTTTAGACAACATGGATCCTACCCGCTTTTTCCGTCGTTCACGGAAAAGTTCTCGGCGTCGATCAATATCCTTTTGAGATATTTCAGATATACTGTCACGACGACGGAAACATACCTAATAATTATAATAATAAAATTTAAAAGTCTGTTTAATGAATTTTTTAAAAATAATAGATCAAAAAAAAAAAAAAAATTCTTACGTCGATCAGTTTTTGACAATCAATTAATTTCTTGGGCATATTCTAAAAGTTAAAAGTGATAAATAGACGCATTAACATTATTTATTATAATTTATTAAGACGCATCAAACATCAATTGAATAAATAATAAAAAAAAAGGAAGGATTAAATTTACCTGAACTACCTGAAATACTTCCATGGGATCATCCACTGCCAAAATCTTTTCTTCATTCAATTTAAATATTGCTAACGCAACACGGAAAAGTATTTTGTTACCTTCACTGTTAATAAAAAATACAGAAATTAATTAATATCAGTTGTCAATTAACATCATAAAAATGTAATAAAAGAAAATATAGTCATCATACTAGAAGAAACAATCCCAAACTCTAAGCAATGTCTTTTTAAATATATATATTAGAAATATATTTGCATTATAATCAAAATATCAGATAATAATTGTAATATTAAATTTACCTCAATTGGTAAAATATTGATATAAAGAGTTAAGAACCAATGACTAGTTACTAGGGTAATTGTTGGCATATTTCCATCCGATTTTTCTATATCACAATTGACACCACCATTCATCTTATTCCAAATTTCAGGCATCTTTCTCATAATAAGTGACATGAGAACGGCCTGATCGACATTCGAACCTTCCATTGTTACATCATACATATTCTCTGGTAAATAATCGTGAATAATAGTCACTAACATCCAAAATGCCTTCTCTTCATCCATAAATAATAAAAGAATTCCGGCTACGTAGTTAAGGGATTGACAATAACCGATATTTGGGGAATATAGTGAAAAGGCAGTGAGAACACGACGAAGGGATTGAATAATTGGAACGTTGTCTGTTGAGAGAACAGGTGAATTGCCATCATCAGATACGACAGTAGATTTAAATTTAATATTTTCAGGAAACGTGCGGTGAAGGTCTGTATAATATATTTCAATAAAATTATAATATATTTCAATAAAATTATATTATATTACATTATATTATATTCGTACAAATTTACAATTTTTAACATTAAGAAAAAAAACGTATCAAACCTCGTTCGATCACTTCGAAATATTCATTTTCCAATCGAGGATCTTGAGCTTTCAGTACAAGTTGTTGGTAGAGATCCGAGTGACTTTTCATCTTAGATTCAGCACCACTATAAAAGAACCATACCTGAAAATGATAATTTCTCAATTAATTAATTGTATAAAAAGAATAATTTTTATTATTAAGGTATATATGTAAAAGCAAAACCGACCCTTCCTCGAAGCGATGGTGGAATTCCTTTACGAACATATCTCTTCACTGAGTCGAAAAAAAAAATAAGAATAACATGAAAAACTTAACATTAATGATAATAATAAAATTCTGATGTTTAGGCTTACTTTTAGAACATTTATTTGGTATCATTCCTCCATTTTCATTTAATACTGTTTCCCATTTAATTTTTCTTCGTTGTAAAACATGTGAATAAGAAGCTTCAAAATCCACATATTCTTTGTTGCTTATCCATTGATAAGATTTTTTGAAACCATATCGATCTCTAGAAAATTATAATATATTAAACTAATGAGAATCGTTTTTCTAAATAAATAAATAAATAAATACTGTATATCCATATATATATGTTGTAAGTGGAAACGAGATTTAAGTAGATTTGGAGTTTATTTTATAAACCCTATCCACTTACAACATACATATACATATATATGTATATATATACGTATATATATTACCTATCATTTTCAAATGGATCACGTTGCACCTTTACGGAACCAGGATGAAGATTAGAGGAGGAATTTTGACGAGAAATAGAATGCTTAGGAGGAGTACCTATTGGTACATTTTCATCACTACTAGCCGAAGAATGTTTCGCTCGATTATTATTACTATGAACATTATTTCGATCTTCATTAACACTACTTCCAGATAGAGATGGTGTCCTACTTCTATTATTTTCTCTTAAGTATTCCTTAGGTACATTTAAACCATTTGTACGTTCTTCAAAATCTCCACTCTTACTATTTTTGATTCCATTATTATTCTTATTATTATTATTATATGAACCATAATGATTACGTTCTTCAATATCACCATTAATATTTTTAGTTCCAATAGTATTATTGTATGAACTATAATGAGTAAATACATAAGGACTGGGAGGTGGAGGTGGAGAAAAAGCACCGTTAATAGTATAATGAAATACTGAATTAATCGGATTTGAATAATTAGGAGTATTTTTAAATAAAGATAATGCAGGAGTAGGACAATCAAATGATGGTTGTCGTTTTAAACTGCTTATGCTAGTATCACGAAGATGTAAATTAAGCGAAGGTCGTTTTTTAACAGAATTAATAGTAGTATGGCTCCATGTTGATTCACGTGGTGAAGCAGCCATGTATTCATCAAATAAAGACGAATAATATGAGTCTCTAGAGCTAGAAGCTTCAGTAGGCATTTTTCAAGCAAACTATTTGTTATAAAACTATTTGTTATAAAGGTTTCTTTTCCTTTTTTTTTATTTCTAAAAAAGAAAATTTTTTTTGAAATATGTAAGTGTAAAAGAATCGATCTTTTGAGAGTGTTTATGGTAAAGGGAAAAAAAGTCGGGGTTATTGTAGTGTAATAAAAGTTAAGTCGAGGATAAGGTTGGTGGAAAGCTTGGGTGTATTTAACCAGTAATTTAAAGGAGTGAGTTAGCAACTTCTAGTTGCGTTGAAAATTTTGAAATAAAAAAAAAAAAAAAAAACCCAAGCAGGGATACGAAATTTTGATATTATATTCTGCAAGAATACATGAATTAAATAAATGAATGACTTGAGTGAAAAACTGGCAAAAAAATAAAATAAAATAAAATAAAATAAAAAAAATAAAAAAAATAAATAGAGTTTAGTGTGAATAAAATAGTGTTTGTTTTATAAACTTAGCGTTTAGTATAATATAAACAAGGTGCTATATAAGACTAACAATAGTACAAATATAATCTGCAATTATATGCGCTCTGATTCGTCTTTTTATTATTATTAATACTATATTTATAAAAAAAATCGCATGCATGTCTACTTGTATCACGTTCTACTTGTCCCGGTGCATATATCAACTTAGCATTTCAGAAATCTTTTATAGAATTTTGTAAATGATGGTGATAGTAAACTCGTAGTAAACTGTGAAAAAAACAATAGAATAAAGCTTGTTTCATTGGCATTATGGTTATTATGGTTTAATTGAGGTAAACATTAATAGTCTTAATAAATTGCATGGATAAAATCTTTATACCAATAATTATATACAAAGTCCAAAGTTTTCAAACAAACAAACAAAGAACAGATTACTTTGTGTGCATAACCGTTTTATTGATGCTATATCGCGATCCACTAGGACCGAATTGATCGAAAACCCCTTTTATCACGAAAATAGTATTACAGAAATGCAAGTAAATGCCTAATAACTTTTTTTTAAATGTATAAATGCATATTTATGTATATTATGTATTTTTTATAATTATATTCTCATTAAACGTCATCCTATTACTATTATTATTACTACTAAAGTTAGAAAAACTCTACATATAACTAGCAGTTATACTATCAAAACTAGTACTTTTTACAAGTTTTTTAAAAGTTGATATTTTGGATTTCGAAGACGTCATGGTTGTTGATTGTCCTGATGTTTCAGGTATTTCAGGTAATGGTGAAACAGACCTACATCTCGGAGATGGTTGTTGTGGATTCGACCTATTAAAATTGTTTGAAGGTGGATAAAGAGTTGGAGACAATGATCGTTCTAATGTTGGTGAATCAGAACCTTCTGGAGGTTCTGAATTCTTATTTGTTGATTTAGGTTGTTTATGTACAAGTTTTCGAGCTTCAGCAAGTGACATGGTGCTTAAATCACTTGATGAAAACACCGGAGCTATTAAAAAATCAACAGTTAACATGACATTTTTATTAATTTAAGTAATATGATAAGAATTTTTACATGTTAGATCTCTTGATATTGTAGCTTTCATAATAGCTTTCATCCATTCCCTGATTTTTCCCAAATTTTCATGAGCAAAGTAGTGAGCACGTTCAGTATCATGAACCAATTTGAATCCATATTTTCCCTGCAATATATTCTCGTCAGGAATGACTCGGTATCCCATGATATTGATAGTACCTTTGAGTCGGGATGTTTGTGCAATCTAATTCAAAATAAAATAATGTAATTTCAATATACGATAAGCATCATATCAGAATATAATATCAAAATATATCAAGTATAGTATCAAAATATATTAAGTGTAATATCAAAATATATTAAGTATAATATCTTAAGCATATCAAAAACATATGTTACCTTATCGCTCTGAAAATAAAACAAAGTTTGCTTTCTTAAAACGCAAAACCTATTTTTCCACGATTTATATTTATCATCTTGTTTCATAAGCCATCCTTCATAATCAGGTGTTCCAATATCTTTAAGTATCTCTTCGTCTTCCTCACCAGTACTTTCCTTAACAGAATCTAATCGATTTATCTGATCTTGTTTATCTCCATTCCTAATAGCATGTAAAAAATAGTCAAGAATCAAATCAGTAATCGAAAAATAAACGGAAAAATAACCAAAAAATAAACAAAAAAAATAAGTGAAAAAATATGCGAAATTTGTTTAAAAAAAAAATTACTTTGTAGCATATTTCGGCAATCCCAATTGACTTCCGACCAAACTATTTCGATCCTTTAAAAAAGAAAAAAAAGTTTATAAATAATAACAAAAAAAAAGGTTCATTCAAAACTGATATAAAAAGAATAGTACCAAATATTCTTTCGATATTTTTTTAGAAAGAGACTTGGATTTATTTTTATGCTTCTTTTCAGAGTTTGTATCCTAAAAAAAAAAATATAAAGATAAGAATATAAAAAATAAAAATATATATGGATTTTTTTTTAAGTGAAAAAAAAGATCATACCACCAAAAAATCCCACCCTCCTGATGAAGATTGTATCTTTTCTTTTTTTACGGGTTTATTAAATGAAAAGATGTTTTGATTTGTTTCATTTTTTTCTGGTTTATCATTATTTTTGTCACTTTTGCTCGTGAAATTTAATTTTGAAAATATTCTACTGCTTTTTTTTCTATGAGTTTTTCCTGGATTTATCTATATAAATAATAATGTCATTAACGTTAAGAATACTTAATTCATTTATTAATTTTTCTGAAAATAATACCTGAACTTTTTCATCAATATGATCTGTCTGTTGTGGTAAATTGGAATTCCCATTACTGTTTACTAGTGAAGCTTCATCTTTTGTGTCAACTTTATCAGATATGTCAACTGAATTCAGTTGCGTAATTGGTGTTGATTCCATAATCGGATGTAGCTGTTGCTATTATTATAAGAATTAATATTGATATTAAATTTCTTTGCAGTGCGTGTAAAAATCCCTTTCATAAAAAACTATTCTAACTATAAACTTATTCTAGAGAAATTAGGTTTACCTGTAATGGCTCTACATTTCCTTGATCTTTATTCAAGGTCGATGAACATTTAAGAGCATTAATAGCATTCATTATGTGAATTCTTTTACCATACGACATAATATTTAATTCTTTGAGAGAATCCAAGTCTAAACCAAGAAGGATATCACCCGTGATATCATTCTCTGAAAAGTTCATATATAAAATATTTTTGTAGCTTAGATACTAAACATTTGATGTTAACAAAACATATATTATAGTATATGTTATTTACCGATGAAATGATCTATTACAGAATCGAAACCTTTTTCTTTCAACCACTGACATACTTGTTCCACGTTCCAACCCAAAGGGTTGCCTTGAATACTATTCTTTCTTGAAGTGTTATGCCTAGAAGTTGAATGTTCACTATTATTAGATCCTGAAGAAAGAGATAAACTGGAATGTCCACTTCGTAATGATCCTTTTGATTGTCGTTGTGACGAAGTTTGTATATGAGTTATTGTAGAACTTCGGTGTATTGGCAAGTTTGGAGCAGAATTAGATTTAAAACTGGAAGTATCCAGTTTTGGATCAGAATTGTTTTTTTGATGTTTCTTTGCCACAAGTTGATGTAATTTGCTTTGTATGTCGACAATTGTTTCATTTGCGGAAGGATTTTGTATTCTAGGCTCAGGAATAGTAGTTATTTCATTGAAGTTGTTGTTTTTCATTGAATGATCCAAGTTTGATTTATTCATGATATTATTATTATTATTATCATATGGAGATTTTGGTACAGGTTTTTCGTAACTAGTATAATTCATGGGGAAAAGACCGATCTGACCAAGGACATTTTGTCCCTATATGGGGAACCATAATTCGTTTATAAGTAAATCCACACGGTATGACACAAGTTGACGCAAAATTTATTTGTAACGATCAAATCGACATAAACTTTATTAGTTTAACCCTGTGAAAATTTTTTCAAACATTTATTTTTAATCTAAAATGACTACTGGAAAAATCATTAAATTACCTGCCACCAGCCATCCCAATACATTTCATCTTTTTCCAATACTAAGATCGGATCACCAACTTTAAACGTAAGTTCGTCATCATTTTCAGCGTAAAAATTATGAATGGCATAGACAGTTTCCATCGTTAAAAAAAAAAATAAATGCTAGTGTAGGAATTAACAATAAATGATAAGGAAAAGAATAAAGGCTATGCAATTAATAATATTTTTCTAAAATAGTTTTTTTCTTCGAGCCTTTAACCTGAATACCAAAATATATGTATGTATGTTAATTGAAATAAGTACAATTGTCAACATATAAGTAAAGAAACAAACCTGCAAAGCTCAAATAAAAATGCAATAGCAAGCTCTCTAAAATTATATATATTATTTTTTTCCTTATTAAGAGCTTTCGCAAAAAATGAGGAGTATATAGGTAGGAAACAAAGAATGTAATTTTTTACTGTAATTTTATATAACATATATATATATCTAAATATATATACAAATTGTCAAGACAATACAAATGAGCAGAAGATCCGGTCGATATATGCGGTCGAAATATGCGGTCGAAATATTCGGTCGATATATGCGGTCGGTTATATGCACCCGGAATCAATTTAAAAATAAATTGGTTCTTAAAGATAAAAATATAATACGTAACTCATTTATGAGATTTTTTTTTTTCGGTCTTGTACGGTAAATGCTAACAAAAGCACACAAACAGTAGCACATGCGAAACACGATTAAACACATTAAGCAACTTTAAAGCATAAGTTTCTACCAATGAAAGGATTTGAATATTTGGTTGGTTGGGTAGTTATGAAACGTACATAGTACTTATGTACCTATGTAAACGTATCGTACGTACAAGTATGTATGTAAACATCTTGTTTGATAATATAATATTTTATTCTTTTATAATTTTTTGATACACAACATTATTATCCGGTATTAATTATTATACTAGACCATTTTAAGTAATTTTTGTTTTCATGCTGCTCACATGGATTATAAATGTATAGTTCGTGTATCAATAACGATAAAGTTGAACCTGCAGAATGCACACCCGCCTACTCACAAAAATTGGAACAAATTATCGTTACTGTATTTAACTTATTTGACTTCTTTTTTTTTTTTTAAAGCCAACCTTTAGTGGTGCCAATAGGAAGATTGTTGTTTGCATGCCTCAAATGAAGAAGCGATATTCGATATTCGATCATATAAATCTGTATTTAATAACAATGAATTACGTTTTCTCAAAACAGTATCGTTTCGGTATTTTGTTTTTAAAACTTTGTAACATTACATGTAAACGTTCGTTCTTAAAAATATCGGTTGTTTTGGACCGATTGGTTGTTTAACTGTTTATTGCAAACCTTAACCATTTTTTTTTAATAGTGAAAACCATCAACTGTATGACTTTAACCACTTTTATAGTATTATTTGATTGGATTATTTATGATTCTAGTTTTATATAAATACAGTTTGCGTGATCATAATTTTTATACGTATAGAATTTTCGGTCATTTGATTTTTGTGTCATAAATCTTAAAATTTAATAATTTGTTAAATTAATTAATTTAAATTTTATCCAACCTGAGGGAAATAATATTAAATTAAAATTAGTCTTAATATCTTAAAAAAGGTAATAAAACTTAAAAATTATTGTTGCACTTTTTTAAAAAAGTGTGCACGTACATATTGTCACGATGATCAAAAAAATTTGCCCGCAAAATAACTGTTGTATCAAAATATCTATTATACGTACGTAGGCTATATTAAATGAGGTAATTTATAGAAAAAAGTGAAAGTTATATACGCATTGTAAAATTAGAATTGCACAAACTCCAAACTTCCAAACTTGACCAAATTTTTTAAAATGTGACTACGTATTAGGATTAGCTAAAACAATATTATACATACAATAGAATTGTATCTATTGGTTATCACTATTATTTAAACTGTTTTCCAGGCAAATTTGCTTAGAATTTTAAAAAGTATTTAGTATTTTTTAAACAATATAATAAATTATTAATACATATGTATGGAATATATTTTATTTATAAAATATTTTATTAAAAACATATTCTATTAATTTTATTAAGAAAATTGTTTAAATTATTAAAATTTTTGAGGAATAGAAGTTCTAAATTTTATTTAAAAATTATTATAAAAAATTTTAAAAGTTGTTAAGATTTTATATATTTTTTAAAAATAAAAATAATTTTTACTCTTAATACAAGCTCAAAATTTTTACAAATAAATTAAAATCTTATAATAATAATAAAATTGGTTTTTTTTGTATCAGCTATAATATTATATTAAAAAATCAAGTTTAAAATTAATATTTAAAAAGTTCACTAATTTTTTTTAAAATTTGTTTATTTTTAACTTATAAGCAACATGTACTTTTTTTATAAAGTTAAATACTACTATAATATAATCTTTATTTTTAAATCTTATCAAAAAAAATTTTATTTAAATGAGTTAACTTTTAAAAAATAAATTATAAACAAATTTATAATAATTTTTTAGACAAATTTGCCTGAAATTAGCTTACAATTTAAAGGATATTTTTTTGAATAACTAATTTTTATTATTTGAGATAGCAGATTACAACTTTAAGGTTAAATCACTATTCAAAAAATAAAATAAATAAAAATTCAGTATGTTTTTACAAATAATGAAATATTTAAAAAAAATAAAAATAATTTTTTTGGTTATAAATAAATTCGAAAATTTTGAATTTCCAGAATACGTTACTGCGATCTTCCAAATCTTTGAAGTTTGTTTTAATTATTTATTTAGTTTTTTGAACTTTACTAAAATTCCAATTTTCTGCAAAACCATGATCTATGGATGCAGAAAAATTTTATTGGATTATAGCACTTTGCAAGTAGATGATCAGAGATTTTAGATTGTCTATTACTTCATAGATTTTCGATCGGTTACGAAATGGTGATGCCAAGGCAAAACCTGTAAGCAAATTTTGAGGTACAATAACGATAAGGCGAGTTTACCTCTGGGAAAATTGTGATATAACACATTAAATCATTGTATACAATCAGTGTTCTGATTATCCTTATTGAAGCCTAAATATTTGCTTACAGGTTTTGCCTTGGCATCACTCAAATCGGATTTTCGATCGGTTACGTAAGTACTCCTTTGAAATTCTATAAAATCTCCGATTCTCACATGACATTGTGATTTGTGATTTGCAGAGGTCACATCTTTTTTATCGATTTACTTATTTGCGCCGGTGATACAAACCAAAAAAGGAAAAAAACAAAAAATATCCTTTTTTATTGGCACAAAT